TTATCAATGGAAGAATTAATATTGCAAACAGGAGCATAATTACAAAATCAAGGAGCTGCAATTAGAAACATGGAAAATCAATTGTGATGTATTGCTACTACACTTAACCATAGACCTCTATGAACTTTGCCTAGTAATGTTTAAGTTAATCCTAATGATTAAAACAAAGAGGAAATTAAGGTTATTCAACTGAGAAGTGGAAAAGAGTTGGAAACAAAAGTTCAAAATGGAATTGAAGTTGAAGTTGAGAACGAAAGAGTGGAAAAGGAAAAATATAGTGAAGAGTTTTATTTTGAGTCAGAATATCCTATCAAACCAATGAAAATTATTATAGCAAGATGAATACATCTATTTCTTCAAATGTTGAAGTAGTATAATAAAGATAATCAATTTAGAAAATTTTTGAAAATATTGAGGAAATTGACAATAAATTTTTTATTTGTTGAAGCCCTGAAACAAATGTTAAACTATATGAAGTTTATGAATGATATACTTGATAAAAAAGGAAAGTTTACAGATAATGAGACTAATGTACTTAGTGAAAATTGTAGCACAATAATTTAGAAAAAGCTTTCTGAAAAAGCTTAAAGATCCTGGTAGTTTTACTATTTTATGTGCTATTGGTGAAAGATTTTTTAGAAAAGCTTTATGTAATTTAGGAGTCATTTCTAATCTTATGCCTTTATCAATTTTCAGAATGTTGAGTTTAGAAGAAATTTCTCCTACTCTGTAACTCTTCAGTTAGCTGATCATTCAATTACCTATCCTAAAGGAGTATCCTAAAGGAGTTATATATATAAGATGTTTTGGTAAATGTTGATAAATTTATCTTTCTTGTGGATTTTATTGTGTTAGGCATGGAATAAGGAAATTCCTATCATTATAGGAAGACCATTTCTTGTCATTAGAAAAGCTTTGATAGATGTGTAGAAAGGATAATTAATGATGAGAGTTCGCAATCAAAAAGTTACATTTAATATTGCAAAGTCAATGAGATATCCAACAAAAGGAAGAGATGATGAAAGCTTGAGAATGGATTCTGAACTATATCCTCATTCTCATACTTCAAATATATTCCAGATACATTTGAAAAAAAAAACTTGAATAAGAATATTTGGAGTATGAGAATGATGATATAGTTCAGGATGAAGCTATGGAAGTGAGTAACGAAGAATTGGATTATGTTCAGAAATAAATTGAATTGTTAGATCCTGTGAATGATAATAAAAAATTAATTTCCTTGATTGTAAAACCTCCTAATCTAGAAATGAAAACACTTCCTTACACATTTAAAATATGTTTTTTAGGAGATTTATCCACATTACATTATATTGTATCCTCAAAATTAACTAAAGCATAAGAATGAAAGTTGTTGGAAATGTTAAGAAGATATAAGAAAGCCTTTGGATGGACGTTATTAAAGGAATCATTCCTTCGATTTGTATGCACTGAATTTTATGGGAAAAAAATCATGAACCAACAGTTGATCCTCAAAGGAGATTAAACCCAATGATGAAAGAAGATGTTAAGAAAGATATTTTAAAATGATTAGATGCGGGAATAAATATCATATTTCAGACAGTGCTTGGGTGAATCCAATTCACTGCATTCTTAAGAAAGGGGGTGTGATTGTTGTGACAAATAAGAATAATGAATTAATACTAAAAAGACAAGTCACTGGTTGGAGAATCTGCATTGATTATAGAAAATTAAATTCGATCGCCACACCAAGAAAGATCACTTTCCTTTACCCTTTTTGGAGTAGATGTTGGATAGGCTAGCTGAGCATAGATATTTTTGTTTTATAGATTGATATACTGACTATCATCAAATATTAATTACTCTAGAGGATCAAGAGAAGATAATGTTTAGTATTTCTTATGGTACTTTCACTTTTCGACTAATGCCCTTTGGTTTATGTAATGCACATATGACATTTCAAAGATGTATGATGTCAGTTTTCAGTAATCTAATTGAAGAAGAGATAGATGTTGGATAGGCTAGCTGAGCATAGATATTTTTGTTTTATAGATTGATATACTGACTATCATCAAATATTAATTACTCTAGAGGATCAAGAGAAGATAATGTTTAGTATTTCTTATGGTACTTTCACTTTTCGACTAATGCCCTTTGGTTTATGTAATGCACGTATGACATTTCAAAGATGTATGATGTCAGTTTTCAGTAATCTAATTGAAGAAGAGATAGAAGTCTTTATGGATGATTTTTCAGTGTTTAGAACTTCATTTGAAATATGTCTAAAGCATTTAGAGAAAGTTCTAGAACGACGTGAAAAGACGAATTTAATATTAAACTAGAAAAAATGTGAATTTATGGTTGTAGGAGGAATTGTGCTGGGGCAAAAAATTTCAGAAAATGACATGAAAGTAGATCTGACAAAAAACTAAGTTATAGCTAACCTACCTCCGCCTACTGTTGTAAGAGAATTTTGGAGTTTTTAAGGACATGCTGGATTTTACAGACAATATATTAAAGATTTTGCAAAAATTACAAAGCCTTTATGTCAACTTTTGGAAAAAGACAAAAAAATTGATTTTAATCAAGAGTTGATGTCTTTGAAATATTGAAAGAAAAATTAATCACTACTCCTATAATTGTTTCACCTGATTGGGAGAAACCATTCGAGCTAATGTGTGATGCAAATGATTATGCAATTGGAGCTGTTTTATGTCATAGATATTATTGGGAGAAACCATTCGAAACCATTCGAGCTAATGTGTGATGCAAATGATTATGCAATTGGAGCTGTTTTATGTCATAGATATTACAAAATTTTTAAAGTTATATACTATGTTAGTAAAGCTCTCAATGATGCTCAAATTAGTTATACCACTACTGAAAGAGAGTTATTATCTATTATTTTGCTTTTGATAAGTTTAGTTCATATCTATATAGAGCAAAATGTGTTGTGCATACATACCACTCTGCTATAAAATTTTTGATACAAAAGAAGGATACGAAACCAAGATTAATTAGATGGTACTTCTAATGCAAAAATTTGATTTTGTGGTAGTAGATAGAAATCGATCTGATAATCAAATAACTGATCATTTATATAGGCTTGAATAGGATGAAACATTTTATCTTAAAAAAGAAATTAATGAAACTTTTACTGATGAACAACTTTATGATGTTAAAGAATAGGAAATATGGTGGTTTGCTTAAATTGTGAACTACATTGTTAGCGGTATTTTATCATATGGGTTGACAAAGCAACAAGAGAAAAAAATTATTCATGATGCAAATTTTTACTTTTGGGATAACCCATATTTGTACAAACAAATAAAAAATTTAATTGTGCGGAGATGTGTGTCTTATAAAAAAAATTGAAAAAATTATCCAAAAATGGCATGATTCAAAATTTGGGGGTCATTTTGGAATTGATAGAGTTGTTCACAAAATTTCACAATCTAAATTTTATTAACGAGTAGGCAATATTTCAAAAAGAAATGAAATGCTCCTAAATTTTACTTTGAAAGTTGAAAACTTTGATGTTTGGGGATTAGATTTTATGAGACCGTTTATACCTTCATTTGGAAATATATTTATATTAATTTTAGTGGACTATGTATCAAAGTGGATTGAAGTAATAGCTTTACCCCGATGTGATGCTCGGAGTGTTTCAAAATTTTTTATAAATAATATTTTTACAAGATATGAAATGTCGACAATAATCATTACTGATGGATGATCTCATTTTTGAAATAAATGAATTGAAAAGTTAGTGGAAAAATATAATATTATACGTAGGATTACAATTGCTTATCATTCTCAGACTAGTGGTCTAACATAAGTATCTAATCGTGAGATTAAAAGAATTTTGGATAAAACTGTAAATCCTAATAAAATGAATCGGTCTGCTAGATCAAATGTTGGATAGACTAGTTGAGGCATAAATACTTTTGTTTTCTAGATGAATATATTGGTTATCACTAAATACAAATAGCTATTGAGAATAAAGAGAAAACAACTTTTATCAGTTCTTATGGTACATTTGTTTTTAGAACAATGTCATTTGATTTATGTAATGCTTCAAAGGACTATTTTTTATGATTTAAATAAAAAAGGAATTGAAGTTTTTATGGATGATTTTTAAGTGTTTAAAACTTCATTTGAATCATGTTTAGAACATCTTTCAGTGTTTGGAAGACTCATTCATCCGATCAAGTTTAGCTGTCCAAGCCAAAGCCTACATGATCAAATCTGACCGAGCTACGAGGGCAGAAAGATAATCGAATGATGCAAATTCAAGCACTTCGATCAGAACTAAGATAATAAGTCATCTGAGCTAACAACCACTAAAAAGAAAACCCATAGAATAACTAATTTCCCAACATCTCTAATCATATCAGAAAAGTCTAGAAGCCTCCTTATTCATTATCAAGGGTTGGCAACTAGACTGGATCAGCTAGTAATGCTAATTCTTCCCATCTGAAGCAAATCAAGCTCGGCAGATAGATGACGTCAACCAAGCCTAACCAACCAAACCTATCCTTTAGCTATAAAGCTAAATAAGCTCAATCGATTGAGTTAGAGAGTAACCGAGCAATCGACTGATAAAAATCCCAAGAAAACTTACTACAACTCCTTCTAAAGCAAAGACAAAAAAATGATATCATATTGTCCAATCTCTCCATTATAAATAGTGCTCATTTTATGAATAAATAATGACAAACAAGATAGATATGATTGATGATTGACAAAATGGATGGATGGATGGATGGATGGATGGATGTATGTATGTATACCATATATATATATATATATATCTATCTATCTATATATGTACATACATACATACATACAAATACATACATACATACATACAGATACATACATACATACATAAATACATACATGAATCCAATATTGCCAAGTGCAAATGAAAAAAATTTAAAATGTAAACTAAGATAAAATTAAGAATATTAAATCAAATAATTTAATGTGATAAAAAAGTCAGAGCGAATTCAACTTACAATCTTGGTCATCCCACGACCAGGATAGTGATAGCCGGCAGAGAGGCCCTCCGTCGCATCAGACCTGAGGTAGAGCATGAGCCAAGGATATTTCTCTGATGTCCTGAGATAGTGATGAAACTTCCACCCTTTATCCTCACCGCTACCAAATTCCTTCTCCCACACAACCGAGAAGTAGGAGATGTCGTTCAATCCTTCGCTGACATCTGCGTCGAGCTCATAACTACCAAAAAAGCTTCCTTTGAGCCTGTCTTCGTTGTCCGACAAAGCGGTGTAGTTGTGGAAGTGAAGTGGCTGGTTCATGCATCTTTCCTCAGCAAAGCAGGGGAAGCGAGGTTCTGGTGGGAAGGGGCCGACCTTCTTTCCATTGGAAGGGCAGAGGTCGGACTTGGTGTCAAAGTTGCCATTTTTGAGCATTATCATCCAATAATGCCATGGAGCCGGCTTGTCATTAACCTCACACTTGGTGCCCAGATACATTTCTTTTTTCACAGCGTAGAGATCCACGTTCTCGCCGGTTTGATTTGCCCCCATTCTGTTGTCTTGCTCGCTCACGAGATGCACAACTTCTCGATGGACTTTCTCGCAGCCGTCTGAAACAAACGATCATCTTTAAGAAAATAATAGTTGTCTAGTAAAAGCTTCTCCGAAGGTAAGACGAAAGAAATGCGCCGCTAATTAACTTTCACATAGTTTTTAAGAAATGTTCTGAAATGCAGGCAATAACGTAACTGTCCTTATATATTGCGCCCAATTATCTCTCATTAAAATTTTTTATAAAAGTTTTTTCTTTTTTAAATTTTTTGAATTATGGGTTGGGCTGGTTGGCGTTCCTGTACTTCAAAAGTAAGGGCACTTTATCAAATAACCATTAGCCTTCATACTGGCTGACCGCAATTTTGGCCATCAATCCAAACCATTACAGCAAACTAAGAGAAGATTCAAGTCAGTGTAAAACAGAGAAAATAACTTATAGTTGTTGCACTGGATCCACATTATATATAATCAGGCATATATTTAAAAGAAAAATACGACGTTATCGACACACTATATGATTCATTAGATCCAAATAGGAAAATAATTTAGGAAAAAAAATCAATACTTCGGCCGACAAATCTGTCGTGTAGAGACCATTATAAGTATTAGAGAGAGAGCATTTACACAAAATTAATCTTTTTTAAATTAAATTTTTGTTTTAGATTAGATTGCAGAGAAGAAATCATGATATTCTTAACCATTTCAACTTTTTCCATCCTTAATATTGGACTTTAGTTTCATACTTTAAAACATAGATTGTTCATTCGAACATTCAGGCGGTCTCAGGAATGACTGAATAGAATGAACAAACGGTCCGACAAACATCAGACAACTATATAGCACTGACTATTGGGTAACCACTATCATGAAAAATAATAGTCGCTTGAGATAATGCATTTTAACGTAGATACATAATCCAAGGGCAGGTTGCTTATCTGATTACGTTTATTTACCATCAGCTCGATGAAAGAACCTTACTCTAAGACGATATGTGTTCATATTCTGACTCCACTGATTGGGCGACCATAGAGCACTAAAACCGACCGAACGATAAAGGGTTAGCTGAACGAATATAATTCAAACACCAGAACAAAATGGTTATGAATGTGAAGCAAAATTTAAGGGATAACGTATAGCAGTGTTGACATCCGTTATGAGGTCGAAATAAATAATATTTAGTTATAAATGTGTAAATGTAAGAGCTCATTAACTATAGAAATATTTCTCTCACTAATAAGGAAATGTAAGAGCTCATTAACTATAGAAATATTTCTCTCATTAATAAGGAAACACCATGTAACTTATAAATCCTACCTATGAATTATAAACAGGGGGATAATTTTTAGAAAGGGCAGAACAAAATTCTAGCTAAAAGACAAGTATCAAGTATTCAAATCATTCTTCTTTCTCTATTTCATCCGATTAAGGCTCTATACCTTAGGCGTGATCCATCGAATAATATATGATACAATATCCTAAAAGATGCAGTGATCGTGGAGTCATGTCATCCACCAAATGAGAGCACGATAGTCTAAAGGAACACACTAAGGAGATACTTCCAACATTGATTATGTTCGAGAATTCGTACAACAACAAGTCAAAGCGCTTTGCAGAGTTGGCTCGAACGGTACTTGAGGGAAGGGTACAACCTCTTCCTCAACCCAATCCACCGACACCCCATTCGCCAGTATAACACGTCGTTCTAGCACCCAAACCTCCATTTCAACAGGCAGCACCAGTAGTCGAATGAGAAGAAGAGTCTCATTATCAGGATAGTGCCAGGTCTGCACAAAGGGGAGGACCACCACCAGGAGCAATAGAAATCTATCGCCACATAGAGTATGCGTTCTCTCAACATATTATGGAGGCTAAACCACCAGAAAAATTCAAGGTTCCCATCTTGGCACCATACAAAGGTCAAAGTGATCTCGCTGACCATATTGTGTCCTTTGTGTCTGCAATCTGCCTTATCAAAATTTCAGATGCATTAAAATTTTGGTTCTCTACAAGCTCTCTGATTGTTCAACGGGCTTCCCATAAGAATTATTAATTCCTTCAGAGATTATACGAAGTTACTTTTGGGGTAGTTTGCTAGTGCCCAAAAGCCACGATAGGATTCAGATTCTTTGTTATATTTGAAATATGTACCAAACGAGAGTGTGATGTCATATGTAACTAGATTTCAGAAGTAGATGCTTGAGGCCCAGAACATGGAGCCAAAAGTCACCAAGGCAACACTAACACAGTATTAAAGAGTCTACAGTTCCAATACTTTATGGGTTTAACGAAACCCAATACTCTGGAGGAAATTCTGTAACTAGCCAATGACCACATTGTGGCTGAAGAATATATGAACTATTTAATTTTCAGAGTTGGAAAATCAGATAAAAAATCAGACAGGAACAACTTGAGGAAGATGTTGGAAAGATAAAGATGGCTCTCATTCGAAAAGGGAAGGAGGACAGTCTTCCCAACGATACAAAAGTAGATCGTGACGTACGTAAATGTAAACAGATAAATGACTAGTCTATGGGAGATCGGAGGACATCCAGGTTCACACCACTTTAGGCTTCTATGGCAGAACTCGTAGATGCAACAATAACAGGGAGTGTTTCCAAAAGGCGACACTACTAAAAGCTGGAGATTTCCTCCTGAGTCGCAAAAAATACTGTAAGTATCACCAAGACCACAATCATGATGTTGAAGAATGTGAGCACCATTGCAGCCTTGTAGATTAGCTTATTCAAGCCAAAAGGCTTAAGGAGTTTGTAATGTCGGAGACTTAGACTCTGCGGAAAGGTAAAGCTCCAATAGAAAGCAAGTCAATCGGACCAATCTGAGCTAACACCTAGATAGTTCCAACAATCTTGGGAGGTAAAATGTATACAAGAATCAACAAGAAAAGAACTTAGTTGGAAGATTACTACACTTTCGTACCCTCTCCAAAGATGAAATCACACCCAACTATCATTTTCACTAAAGTTGTATCTTCCTCTAGCCGGAGATCCATATAATGATGACGTTGTTGTCACAAAGCTCATGAATAACTATCATGTTGGTGGAAACTTGATCGACAACGGGAGGTCGGAAACTTTTTTTTATTTCGGACTGCATTTTAGAATATGAGGTTGACGACCAACCTATTGACTGCACCAACTGGACCACTGTCTAGTTTATTTGGTGAACGAAAGGAGGCTCTAGGGGTAATAGCCCTCTTTGTTACTTCGGGAGAGGGTGGTAATAATCGGTTTACTAATATGAAGGATTTTCTGGTGATTGACACACCACTAACCTACAATGTGATATTCAGTCGGACCCTCCTAAATAACTTCTAGGTTGTAGTATCAACATAACATGTAGCTGTGAAATTTCCCAACAAATGAGTGGTAGTCCCCGTGTAGTGTAGGGAGATCTGGAGCAATCCCGAACGTGCTACATACAAGCGGTAAGTAGGATGGAGCACAGAGCGTTGGACATACAACACAAACTAGAAGGAGGCCCCGCAAATATACAAGTTCAAAGTCTCCCAATATCTTCTCAGTGGAGGCATATTATTCTGAAAGTCAACCACGCCATTGCATTTATGATGCGTTAGAGAAAGTGAATTGGAAGACATCATCCGAGAAGTAAATTTGAGAGAATGCAAAAGCCATTCAGGAGAAAAAACTTTGGCTCATTAGGTACAAAAACAAGGTTATTTTTGGCCAACACTCATGAAGGATGCAAAACAGTTTTCATAAAGGTGTGAAGAATGTAAAAAATATGCTCCACTACAGCACCAACCAGCTCACAAATTGCAACTGATTGTCAGCCTCTGACCCTTCAAAGTGTGGGAGCTACATATTCTCAGTCCATTCTGGCCTTCCATATGAAAAATGAAAGTTCTATTAGTAGCTGTGGACTATTTTCCTAATTAGATAGAAGCTAAAGCACTTGCTCGGATCATAGCAGGCATTGTTCAAACTTTTATCTAGACAAATAAAATTTGTCGGTATAAGTTACCCCTAAAAGTCATTACATATAATCAAACTCAGTTTGCTAATCAAGGGGTACAAAATTTCTATCAGAACCAGGTAGTTAATTTAAAATTTTCATCATTACATCACCCGCAAACTAATGGTTAAGCTAAATTTGTTAACAAAGCCATACTAAGCTTATTAAGAATGAAGATAAAATATGCAAAAGGTAAGTGGGCACATAAGCTTCATTTGGCCCTTCGAGCCATCCAAACCATCCCAACAAAAAAATTGGTGCTTTCCTATAGAATGAAAGCTATATAACAAGTTAAATATAATAATCACATTTAAAGAGTTATCATTGCAACATCTTTTGGCAAAGGGGACCTAGCAACTGACAACGTAAGCTTGGAGAAGGCATCTCACTTGCTCTTGATCAATTTCAAGAAAATCGAATGGATGTTGCTCTACTATAAGAAGAGATGAAAAGAACAACCAACACTATAAGAAAAATGTACGAGAAAATACATTTTTAGTGAAATATTTGGTTTTAAAAAAGATTGATCCAACTACCATAGGACAGTCGGTTGGCCCCGGTGCGTAAAAGTTAAAAACACACACTGAGAAAGTTCTTCAATGAACGTGGAGTGGAGACGGCTAACATAATTTTTTTTCTGAAAACAAAATATTTTATTTTGTATCAGTAATCATATCTGAGAAAACCCATTATTATAAAATCAAATATTTTATTTATCTCGGTTGAAAAGTACAAAATTTCCAAAGGATAATACAGGCAAAAGGTAGACCCATTACAAATTATTTGACAAGAACAGACTTTCAAGGGGGTTAAAGCTCTCTGTTGAAAATTGCTAAATGAGTCCTCACCAGGCTCGTCACATTCTCTCTGTTTACATTATCTCCTCAGTACAGGAATTTGGTGGAGATAGGGAGGATACAACTGCCAAAAGACTTCATAACGTCGCTCCTCTGCCACTAGTGAAAGGGAGGTGAACAGACATCTGGCAATAACCATTGAACAGACATATAGTATTCTCTAGGAATGTGTTGTCAGCATTAGCTTTCTACATGGGAAACTACGT